GGGGGGGGGGGGGGGGGGGGGGGGGGGGGGGGGGGGGGGGGGGGGGGGGGGGGGGGGGGGGCAAGAAATGTGGGTTTCGATATACAAACCGGTCGACACTGTCGAAAATTCCTACAAGTGGACGATAACGCGTTCGTTCGTTCGACATGCTTCGCTACAGCTGAGGTAGGCCCGTTACCCCGTGACATACCAATCGGTAGAACATGCGTGTTGGATACCTCCCCCGTGCGTACTGACCCCCCCGGCATGAGATGATTGTCCCCGGTCTTCCCCACTCTTTCTGGCCATTTATCATTCTCAAGGGATGTAGTTACATATCTCCCGCGATCTTGTAGCGCTGCGAGGGTCTATCGCGCTTGCCACAGTACTACATAGGCACGACAATATCATGACCCCTCCTCCCTCCCTGCACCACTGCCCCCCTGCCTGAGCACGATAGGGTCTCCGCACCGAGTCCATCAAGAATCTCATCCAGGAACGCCTGCGGGTTGCGGGGCTGACCGTCCGTCACATCGTAGGCCCTTCCAGCGCATGCCGGGGCAGCTTCGCTCTTGCTTCCGGGGCCTCTTCTTTGCTCTGCGTCCGCACCCTCAACGCCTGCCCCAACGTCCACCATGGCGTTTGGTGCGTCTGTTTCTGCTCTCTTCTTGAGTTTTGCGCCGGCAAGCAGGTGTGCCTCCGCCTGTGCTTCCGGGGCATCCAAGAGCAGGCAGTACCAAGCAAAGAAGCCAGCAGAATAACGAACGGCGTGTCTTCGTGGGAAGGTACGATTTTGACGGATTTTCATATCAATCCATGCCTTGTTTTTTGTGGTGAGACGCCGCCAGAACAACGTATGACCAATCAAATCCCCCCTCCCCGAAGACGCACCCACCAGGTTGTCCACGTGCACCATGTCCACCTTGACGCCGCCGTCTTCCGGGCACTTCGGTCCCACCGCCACGCGATTCAAACCCCAGCCCACCCACAACAGAGCTCGATGTAACGGCCTGGACCGCGGGAGGAGACAAGGAAGGGCGGAACTGTGTGAAGAGAGGCTTGTTATCGTTGGGGTCTTGGAGAGGTCTAAGCCATGGGGAAGAAACGAAACAAGTAGCCGATCAGCAGGAAGCGTCGCCGAGAACAAACGCCAACGACTCTCCTTGTAACCGTCGCACGCTGATGCTACTGCTGCTGCTGCTGACGATTTCCGCTCACTCCGCCCCGCGAGAGCGGCTTCCCGTGACGTAATCCGGGTGTTGATTTGGTACATAATCAACGAAGGATACGACTTAAGCCTGAGCGTCCGTGCCTTCTCCAATGGGAGAAGTAAATCTGGCATCTGAGCAACACTACGATCGGTACAGCAATGTAGAACAGGGATTAGAGTTCCGGGATGCAAGGGTGGCGTTGATTCCGTGCTATTGCTGAAGGAGTCGCGTCATGTTACGCCCGCCGTGAGGCAACGACCACCACGAGAAGAAAACTTGATGGTACGCACACATGCGCGAGTTCAAGCATGTTTGCCTGTTCCCCCCCAGCCGTTTGCCTCGGTTAGTCCGCACGTCTCTTCGCCTCCGAGGAAGGCGTGGTGTGGACCGGACTTGGTCCAAGCGGCTCTGCGTGCTTTGTACCCACGGCACCAGGACACGCTGCTAGTATAAAAACAAGTCGATTGCACAACAGCGGCAGCAACAGCCGCAAACCACGGCCAAGAAACAACGCAACAAGTGGAGCGAGCTTCTTCGCTCACCCATCCTTCTCCGACAACCCGTAGATGAAGGCAGCAGGCCGCAGAGCGCAGGTGTGCAAGTGCGACGGGGATGTTGCACCACTGAACAACCAGCGCAAAGTCGGAGGCGGGCATGACAACAGAAATCAGCCAGGCAGGCAGACAGACAGACAGACAGATGGACGGATGGAAGGACGGACGCGGGAACGATGCGATGTGAAAATTGATTCGTATCGAAACACAGGCATGAAGAGGTCGGCTGCAAATGTATTTCGTCGATATTTCACCGCGACGCCACTCCGTCTCAATTGTCTCGAGACCAAATCACCACCCCACCCCACCAAGGGGAGGGAAGAGAGACTGACTGCAAACGGGATTCAGTTTTATGGACCACGAGAGGTCCTTGTTGCGCTCGATATAGGCGGTATATATAACTATATCTTGACGGGTACAAAACAAACCTCAGGCCGTCAACGGCACAAGCTATTGGTCTTGTAGATATTCGTGTCCGTTTCCCGTGTTTACTGCGTACACTACCGCTTCCTAGCTTCCCAGGTGAATATCGCGTCCTTCGTACGAAGTTCGTCAAGCTACGCATATGGATAGGTTGGCGTTGAACACGTATCGAAACATTATCTGCGTTGTTGAGTAGCTTTGTGCGTCGGTGCCTTGGCGCGCGGGGTCCCGTAGTTGGGAAATAAAAGAGCCAGCGGCGTGGTCGCCGCCAACGGTACAATGGAGGAACTACGATGGGCGTGATAGCCTGCTGCTTTGGGATGGAGCGTGATAGCTCGGGTATGGTATCTCTGAATGTGGTATGAAAGCCTGTTGGCGTGATAGCCGTGGTGCGAAGGCGTGTGCAAGGACGTGGAAGTACAGAAGGCGTGGTAGCCGGGTGACGTGATAGCCGGGATTGGCGTGGTAGCCGTGGCGTGATAGCCGGGAAAAAGGACTTGATTGCACACAGGAAGAAGGAAAAAAAAGAGGGAAAAAAGAAGAAGTGGGCAGCCACAAAACACAATCACCATATCCGTTGTAGACGCACCTATACCTCCACCCTCAATCCTGAAATATGCGGCAAAGTTGGTACCACCAAATCTAATCCATAGCAACTGCTGAACCCCCAAACTCCCCGCTCCATCTGCTCGGAAATCTTTCTTGCAATAATCTGTCGATGCTGTGAGTACGTCCAACATGGATGACGACCACGTCGCTTGACATTAATGTTACATTCTTTAGCTTCCAAACCTGGCGTCGAGGACTCTTGCTTCAGCCCTGGCCACGGTCCGCGCCTTCACATCATCTTCTTCCTCGTGCTCGGTTGGCCCTTGCGCTTTCTCCGCAGACGAAAATACGCTGGACGAGCTGGTGAATACCAAGCCCTCTACCCCGCACTCCAGGCAGCAATCAACCACCCTACTGACACCTTGTGTGTTGTGCGTCCAGAGAGAGGATTATGAGTAAGAGATTGGCAGGTACGGGGCAGTTGTTGTTTGTTGTTGTTGTTGTTTCTCACATTAGCTCTAAAAAAAAAAAGATTGGGAGCCCGTGGTCTCAAAACCCGGCATACACGACCCCACGAAGAAACAGAAAAAAATAGGGTACAAAAACCACTCGGAAGAGAAACAAAATGATAGAAAGAAAGACCAGCTACCGCACCAAACGAGAAAGAGCGTCGAGGAGACCGATCAAAATAAAATAAAAGGAGA